TCTCCTGCATGAATATGGTCTCCTTTGTGGAAATAGCTGCAGACACCAGTGGCTAAACAGAAAAGAAAGAAAAGCAAAAAAGTCATTAGCAGAGACTAAAACACACTTGGTATGGCAAGAACACAATACTGCCATTTTCATGTGCAAGACTAAGAATGAAATGGAAACAGACTTGCCCTAGCGAAGCATAAAACAAAAATCTGATAGGATAAGATGATTCAGCAATAATTTAACTGCCCGCCAGAACAAAACTAAACATTGATTGGTTGCCTCCCACATGGCCCCGACCAGGGATCAAACACGCAACCTGGGTATGTGCCCTGATTGGGAATCAAAACCAGTGACCCTTCTGTGCATGGGATGATGCTCAACCAACTGAGCCACAGTGGCCAGGGCTAGACTTTTATTTATTTGTTTTTTAAAATACATTTTATTGATTTTTTTTACAGAGAGGAAGGGAGAGAGAGTTAGAAACATCGATGAGAGAGGAAACTGGGGATGTGCCTGCAACCCAGGTACATGCCCTTGACAGGAATCGAACCCGGGACCCTTGAGTCTGCAGGCCGACGCTCTATCCACTGAGCCAAACCGGTTTTGGCTAGACTTTTAAAAAATCTATTAATTGTTTGTGAGAAAAGCTGAGCATATTGTATAAATGTAAATACACTTAATACTTTCATGTTTCCAAAGTGGACTTCGGAAACTAGCAAAAGCTTGTTAAGTGTATAAGACTGCATTAAGGGTTTTAATGCATGGGATGTAGTATAGTTATAAAGATGTCAAGTATTAAGCCCAATAAGTCAATTTCCTATCTGGGTATCATGTACTTTGCAGAAAACACCAAGTGACACATTTTCCAGAAGATTGTGGCAAAAATTACCGAGAAGAAAGATATGCTTGTCCGACTACTCCAAGTTATTAATTTATGACCACGATTACAGCACCACAGAGGTGGCATCTGTGGCTTGATCATAAATAAATAGTATGCAATAAATAAGATATTCAAGTAAATAATATGAATAAAAGAACAGACCTAAAGTATATAATGATAACCATATTTGGTTTCTAAAAAATATTAATAATTTTTGAAAAGGGCTCAAAGGACCTTATATAAAAAATATATTTGTTCCAAGTGACATATGAGATGTAAAAAAATTTTTTTAAACCAGTGACATCTAAGGTATTTCCTGAAATCTAAAATGGAATCGCCTTTAAACATTTTCTTTTTCCACTGATAATGATCTTATTGACAAAGGTTGTCAGTAAGACTGGTTTATAAACATGGAGGGAAAAGTAGGCTGTTGGGGCCTCAACCTGCCTTGCGCTGTGGCCAGGCTGACCGTGGATTCCTGGTACCGGCTTTGGGATGCGCGCCCAGTGCTGAGTCACTCCTCCCTACCTGGTGACACTTTTCATGCTCCTGTTGAATCTGATACTCCTCTTGCTTCAGCATTTCTGTCATTTGGGTTTCCTTGAGGCTATTCTCATATTCCTCCTTCAGCTGGATCTTCTTCTGCCTGCCCTGGGGTAAGGTGACAGAGGAAATCAGACCAGCCCTGGGAGGCATGCACAGATGGGCCCCTCCCTGGGATTGGCCTCCAGCCCTTCAGGGCTCCTGGGTTTGCTCCTAGAATAGCTTTAACCTGGTGGTGGCTCCAAACCCATCAGCTCCATCACTCCTGTGAGCTGGATTCCCTGCACTTCCAGGATACCTGGGCCTAAACCACCCTCACAAACTGAAAAACTCAAAGCTCCCCACGCCAGCTCCACAATTCTGCCTCGGATTCCCAGTTACTCTGGGCAAGCTCCCCAGGCTGATCCAGTGCACACACACCTCTTCCCGTGCTTTAGTGATTTTCCCGTAGTGAAGAAGCCAGTGAGCCAGGTACTCTATGGGGTCGCTGGGCCGAGCCTTCGCCACCTCTGCCAGTGCCTGGGCAAGGCAGTTCCCAAAGCACCTCTTCAGGTAGTCAGTATCCATCCTGTGGGCTGGGGACACATCAAAAGAGTCACGCTCTTTAAAAAAATAGACACATTCTAACCAATAAGAATTCATTTCAGGATAAATATGAGATATTTCTGGTTCCCACCCTTCCCCAAAGAATCAATAAATTCTTATGTGCTAATAGCTCTTACATTGAAATGGCCTTTTCCCTAAAGTCCTAGGTCAGATAGTAGGTGCTGGGTGTTCAGGCATGACAAGAACTCGATAGATTGATGGTTAAGGGGGGGGCTAAACCTTTCCACTTACCCACATGTCTACCCTTGCGTGGAGAGGAAATAACTGAGCAGAAATGGGTCCCCACAGCGGTGCTGAGCACCCAGCAAGCTGTGCTATTATGAGGTTGGAAGTAACCTATGACATAATAAGACAGGCTTATTTATTTCACCAGGGATCACTGAGCAGCCCTGGGGAGGAGCAGGAGGGAAATGCCAGGCACTGCAGCTACTGCTGCCAGCACTAACACAGTGTTCCACTCTCTAGTTTTTAGGCAAGAAACTGCTTTAGATTGAGTGGGTGCCCCTGGATTCACTGATTTCAAGAGCCGAGGCAGTGTAGCCTGAGCTGGGCCACAGGTAGGAGTGGTCCTGGGACGCAGCAGCACAAACACAGACTCCGGGGCTGGACAGACCAAGTTCCAGTCCTACTTCTGCCGTTTATTGGCTGTGTGGTCTTCAGCAAGTCACCAGCCTCTGGGGTCCTTGGTTTTCTCATCTGAAAAACAAAGTAACAAAGGCATGTGCCTCCTAACGGTGAGATAATCCTATATAATAAAAGGCTAATGTGCAAAAAGACTGAACAGCGGACCGATCGGTCGTTATGATGTGCACTGACCACCAAACACAGGAGCTGCCCCCTGGTGGTCAGTGCACTCCCACAGGGGGAGTGCCACTCAGCCAGAAGCCAGGCTCATGGCTGGTGAGCGCAACAGACTGCAAGAGGGCTCCCAGACTGCAAGAGGGTGCAGGCTGGGCTGAAGGGCCCCCTCCCCGGACCCCCCTGCCAGTGCACACATTTCATGCACCAGGCCTCTAGTAAATACATATAAAGCACTAAGCCTGGCACACAGTAAGTGTTTAATAAATACTAGCTATTGCGTGGAAGTTTGTGATATGAAATGGCCCAACACCTGGCCTATTCCTGACCAACTCCATCTTCCTCAAGTTTATGTATTTTAGCTCCAAAAGAGTTAATAATGAAGTGACTAATAAAGGCTTAGGTCCAGTCTTAACATTTTCTGGAGGCACTTCTCAGTTTAAAAAAAGAAAAAAAAAAACCAGATAGATACGTAGATATAAATGTGAAAAAATGTATTTTCATATCGCTTCCCACTGTAAAGGCCTAGAGGCAAATCCACCTCAGTAACAATGAGCACACTGAGCATTCTAACTTGTCTTTAAATGGCTGTCACCGCTTCAAAGGAATCAGGGCTCCTTGGAGAAATAGCCAATTCCAAGGTCGAGGCAGCAAAAGTCCCATAAGCCTGGACTATTTTGTTGTTCCAGAAAGAAAATGTTGAAAAATAAAAGGGTTGGGTACACAAGAGCCAGCTTGAAGGGGCTGCTACTGGCCAAATCTGGGGAAATTTAATCATCAAAATGCATAATGACTGTAATGGATTACAACTAATTGAGTAAAATAAGGATCCATGAGTCCATATAAAAGCAAATAAATAAGTGAATGGGAGAGACAGCATATAAATACCAACTAATAAATGTGGAAAAAATAATGGAGCTTTAAGTAATCACCATTTTATAACCATCATAGTATAACAGAATCAAGCCAGAATCATCAATGAATAATAAAACTCAGTGACTATCTGAAAAAGAACAGGATATTTATATAGTCTCAAAGTTTCTCCTTACACAGTATAGACCAAGTCCAAAGGGAAACAGAAATTTTACAGTGATAAAACCTGGCCAACAAAACCTTAACCAAAATATCAAAATAAACATCATCAATAAGGAACAGTGACAGCCCATGTCTCCTAATGTAATACACTTCTCAGTGGCACATAATACGTTTCTGGATTCCTGCCCCGAAGGCAAAACTTGAATCCGATGGAGGAAACATTAAACTAAGCCAAATTAAGCTACAGTCTACAACTGACTTGAACTCTTAAAAATGCCAACGTCATGAAAGGCAAAAAAGAGATGAGGAACCATTCCCGGTCAAAGGAGCCTAAATAGGCATAACAACAGGTACATGCTCCTGGGTTGGATCTGGACCAGAAAAACATTTCTATAAAGGACATTGTTAGGCCAATTGGGCAAACAAATGTAAATTGTAGCTTACATAACAGAATTACATCAAGGTCACATTTCCTGGGTTTGGTAGTTGAAAATGAGTAAGAAAATGTCCTTGATCTTAGGAAATGCACAGCGTGGTAAGGCTGAATAATAGCTCCCTCAGGTGTCCAAGTCCTAATGCCTGAAACCTATGAAATATGTCACCTTATACGGCAAGGACTTTGCCGATGTGATTACATTGAGGACTTTGATTTGGGGAGATTATCTGGACTCACCAGGTAGGCACAATGTACTCAGGGCCTTTATTTAGGAGAGGGACAGTGAAGTTAGACAGAGATGTGAAGATGGAAGTAGAGGGAGAAAAGGTGATGGGATCCAGCACCAAGTTGAGCCTCCTTCGCATCCAAAGCCAAGAAATATGGGCTGCCTCCAGAAGCCCGAGAAGGCAGGGAAGGGTTCTCTTCTAGAGCCTCCCCTTTTTAACTCTGTGAGACTCATTTTGGATTTCTGATTTTCAAAAACTGTAAAAGAATAAATGTGTGTTTGAAGCCACTAAGTTTGGCGTATTCAGAATGAGTCACTCCAAGATGTGCCTCTGTGATACGCAGATTGCTTTGAGCTAAAGGCAACCAAGGCCATTCGGACTTGAGAGAAGCTTCTTCACCCTCCCCCTGTGGGAGGCAGTTAGACGGGAGTGGAGCAAGGATGAAGGGCAGGCAGAGAAGGTCACCAGGGTGGAAAGCCCCAGGGGCCTAGCAATGGACGATTGGAGGGTGGGACCTCATCCCCAGGGTGTACATTCCTCCCCTAGAATATCACTGGTCATACCGTTTGGACTCCCTGACCTTTCCTCCCTAGAGATTACATCTAACCTTGGATCTATTTCAGCTCCAGGTCCAGAAAAGCAGCAAAAGCAGACAAGCAATGCTGACCTCAGGACCAGCAGCATTAACGAATGACCCCAGTACCAACAATCAGTGGAGACCACCGCCCTGAAAGGACACACCTGGGAAGCTAAAGAATATTTTATTGCGATTCTCCCCTGGGACTTCCCCTAAGATCGCTGCCTTAAAAAAGCCGTTAGGGCAGCACCCAGTGCTTCCCCCCCAGGGAGCACGCCCACACTATTCCCCTCCTCCACCTCTTCCCCCAGGTGAGTTACCACTACCTTCCTCACTCCAAGCTCCACGGGCCCTCCTTTGGCCTCTGTAACTTGTTTCCTGAGCCCGTGTCTTCCAGCACTTACTTCTTCCACTTCTGTGATTTTCTAAATAAATGTCCTCTATAGTTTGAGTCTTGGCTCTGAATTCGTTCCTCAAGTACAGAGGTTGCTGAACTGAGGTCCAGTCTGACCCCACCGGTCTAACACACGGTGCCATTCTCCTCACCACCAACACCCCCAACTACCTAGAAGAATTTAGATTAGGGGCTTTGCCCGCAATAAGAGACTGTGAGAGGTAACATTTTTTTGACCTATACAGAGGGCAGGGGAACTTCTAATTACTGAACATCTGCTCTTCTTAGTGTCCTGCAATGACCTACCTCCCCTCTCAAGTCCCAAGGTGATCCTTAGCTCAGAATGTCATCTATACTTCATTTCCCTCTTTCTGTCTTTGAACCTCTCATGTGTGTGGGGTCTCTGACTCTCTCATATGCGCACGGTTCCCATGCATATGTATGTAATTAAATTTGGTCATTTTCTTGTTAGTCTGTTTCATGTCTAATTAATTATTAGACCAGCTGACAGAACCTTCAGAGTAAAGTTTCTTCCTCTCCCACAGAGGTAGTCATGGAGGGTGGGGATCGGGGTGGGGGTTGTCTCCTTCTGACACCCAGTGGCCCACCTGAAGCAATGCTCCTGGATAAACTACCTTCTACAGCCTGTCTACTCCAGGGTGGTCCATGACCAGCAGCACAGTATCGCCTGGGGACTTGCGGAAATGCAGATTTTCAAGTCCCACCCCAGGCCTATAGATTCAGTCCACATGTTAACAACATTCTCAGGTGATTTTGCCTTTATCACTGTAGAACGGCCCTTCCCAGAGGGTAGAATCACCTACTTTGCATTCCCAAGAAGTCTCTCCACTCACAACCCTTGGGTGGCTGCCACACTGTATGTATGGCAAACGCTTTCTGAAGAAAACATCTGCTCTTAAGCGCACATTTGCAACAATGATCTCAGTGCAATATTGTTGACCTGACAGTTCTCAAGACTTGCCAGTAACAGAACCACAATGTGCGGCTTGGAGAGGACGGTGGCAAAGGGCTTTTACAGCCCACTCCACACTAGCTCAGGGCCCACTCACGCAGAGGGAAGGGGCTATTTTCAGAGTTTCCCAGAGCTGTGGTTTCTCCCAGTTCATGGCCTTGCACTCAGTAGGCTGGGCAATAAGCGTGGAGATGGTTTTTGTTCACATTCTATTCCCAATGCTAGGCACACAGTAGGTGCTCAGTAAGTATCTGCTGACTTGATCAGCTAGGACTCGGATGGTTGTGAGCTCAAAAAAGAGCTGGTGCTCCCTTCCACCTGTCAGTGCCCACTCGGGCACTTACTACCTCAGCCAGCGTTTAGCCAGCCTTCTCCTGCACAGCACTGTCCGCAGCACGGGAGAAATTCTAGCTGAGTCAGACCGCTGTGGCTTCCGGAGGTGAGGGCCCTGCGCTGGTTCTGAAAGGAACCAAGTGGAGGTTGCCAGCAGGTGCAAAGGAGCGAAGTCGTGAAAATGCAGGACCATTGAGCTTGTAGCAATTGTCTCTTCTGGCCAGGCGTCCTGGGGCCCGGGAAGCGGGTAGGCTGTCCCTTGCCTTTCACACACAGGTAGCCTCTCGAGACTCCTCCCCGTGAGTCCGCTGCCCCTTTCTCTCTCCCAGTGCGCGCGGGCCTCCCCGCCCCCCTCTTTCCTCTCTCGGGCAGCCGGGTCCTCTCAGTAGCAAGTCTCCGCTCCACCCTCACGCCCTCTCTTCTCGGCCGCGCGTCCCCGACCCCCGAACCCGCTACATTCGCACCCAAAGCGCATTCGCTCGTTGCCTAGCGACGGGACGCTACTCGGGGACCCACGTGTCCGCAGTGCGCAGGAGGGCGCAGGCGCAGTGCGTGCC